CAAAACAAAAACAAAAACAGATGGAGAGGGAACTGTAGTTTATGTTTGATGTATACCTAGCAAACTGCCAGAAAAATGAGTTAGTTTCACACAGGAGGCTTTGAGTTCAGGTTTTTTAAAATACCGTCCTTGGGAGAAACAGAGGAGTTGATGGCGAGAGAACCAGGTGAGTTACAGTCAAGTTTGTTTTGCATATTTAAGTCAGTAGTTCTCTGGTGATGAGAGTCTGAAGTTTGGTCCCCCCTGCCCTTCCTGGTGCAGAGGGGAGACACTTGTAAATGGAAATTTCCTTCTTGATGTGACTTCCTTTCCTAAGTGGGTAGCTTCTATCCTGTTTTCAGAGCAATTTCCAAGGCTGGGAGTGTGGCTCAGTGGTGGAAACATGCACTTAGCAGGTGCACAGTTCTGGGCTATCCAGCGCTAATTGGATCTATAACTAAGTGTTTGCTCCTCTACTCATCCCGGGAGGGACAGAAAAGCTCTAATTGGTTTTTGTTAGGAACTCATGAATGGTGGCAGTCATCATTCTACAGGACAGAACGACAGCTCCTGTTGGACGGGGAAAACTGGGTTTTGTGAGAGAGGGACAAGGAAATAGAACAACATAGGCTTGGGGAGATTTGCTTGGTAACAGGAGGTTACAGGTTTTTTTTTTTCCCCTGTAAGGATTAAAGCAGAAGGTACTTCCTCACTGTGGTGACTCAGGAGACCAGAATCTCTTGTTTGTAAGAAAAACGGCCGCGTTTGAGCTCCATCTGCTTCCTTAACTTTTCAGTCTGATGAAACAGATTTATCTTTTTGGTTTTGTCTGACCTCTTTTGGGCCCCACCAGGGACTCAACCCAAAGCCATGGCTTCTCATCATTTCAGTTTACTATATCTTTTAAAAGGTATTTATGCATTTATTTTATGTGTATATGTGTGTGTATACCTGGGTGTATGGATGTGCACCACATGTGTGGAGGAGCCCTTGGAGGTCAGACGAGGGCATTGGATCCCCCTGGAACTGGATTTACAGGTGGTTGTGAGCCACTCTGTGGGTACTGGGATTGGAACTTCAATTTTTCATTTGTTTTTGAGACAGGGCTCACTATGTAGCTTCGGTTGTCCTGGCTCACTATATAAACCAGGGTGGCCTTGAACTAGAGATCTGCCTGTCTGCCAGAGTGCTGGGATTGAAGGTGAGGGGTAGCACACCCTGCTACACCCACTTCTTGATGAGAGGAGTGCTTGCATGCATAGAAGGAGGGGAGAGATTGTGGGTGACATCCTTGGATTCTACTCCCACATTAGGTGAAACCACTGCAAGAGGAGTGGGGTCAAAGGTGAGGTGGCACTTGATATTTGACTAGTTTTGAATAATAGATTTCGAGCAAAATGGACGTATTTTGTTTCCAGACGGAAGCGATGAGAGGTCTGCACTATCTTGCGGGTCTGTAAGGCCTGTGTAGGTCTATCTCTTTTGCAGTTCCGAAGACCTCAGAGTGAAATTACCAAGCTGCTCCCTGGGAGACGGTTGCCCTGCAGAATCCATCAGGCAGACCTGCAGTGGCTTTGCATTAGCAGGCATTAAGGCGCTGTTGTATTAAGTCATTGGGGTTTTGAGTTTGTCTGGGCAGCACTATTTAACGAGTCCATCCCTATTACAACAGGTGGCTCTGGCGCCACGCCCACCCCCAGCCCGGGCTCTGACGCTGCTCTGACTTCTGGCTTCCTCTTTCTTTGACTTTATCCATCTGTGCCCAGCTTCCGTCTTCTCTGGGCAAACTTCGCCTGATCTGGTGTCGATGTACAGTACAGCTTTCCCCTCAAAGTATTTCTTGAGCCAAACACAAAGCACCATGGTCTAGGAATGTGGATTCAGGTTGCCCTGAATAACATGTTCTAACATGGAAGTAGTTTCATAAAGCTTTTATGGTTCATGAAATTTTTATAGTCGAGAAACAAAAGAAAGCCATGAATTAAGACACTTTTCAAACACGTTGGTGGGAAGCCCAGGCAGCAAGAGACTCAGTTACAGCTATTAGTTGATATCTGGTTCTTAGTTTTTAGGTTCGTGGAAGCTACTGGTTTGCTAAATTCATTTATTCTAAAGCTTTCTTCTTCTTCTTTTTTTTTTCTGTCTCTGATAGCTGAAAGATGGTAGGTTACATTCAAATGTGGGCAATGAGGGTCTATTAACAGGGCCAAAGATAGTTTGGCTCTGGATCTGCAACATTCCAACCCTCCATAAACAGGAAGTTCTAGTAAGCCAATCAACCTTGGAGAATCTTAACTTAGGTATGATTTCTTTGTGGAAATTTCAACTTATAACAGTCTTGCCCCAGAACCTTAGAGCCTGGTACACCTACTGCGTTGATTTTGGATTCCACTAGGACCGGGCATAGAGAATACAAAAAAAATTTTAAGCTGGGCGGTGGTGGCACACGCCTTTAATTCCAGCACTCGGGAGGCAGAGGTAGGTGGATCTCTGTGAGTTCAAGGCCAGCCTGGGTCTCAGAGTGAGTTACAGAAAGAGGCACAAAGCTACACAGAGAAACCCTGTCTCGAAAAATGAAAAAAAAAAAAATTGTTTAAAGCCGGGCAATGGTGGCACACGCCTGTAATTCCAGCACTCGGGAGGCAGAGGCAGGTGGATCTCTGTGAGTTCGAGGCCAGCCTGGTCTACAGAGCTAGTCCAGGACAGGCTCCAAATCTACAGAGAAACCCTGTCTCAAAACCCTCCCCCACCAAAAAAAAATTTTTTTTAACCAGGTAATTTAAGGTTCTTGTGGCTAAGTAGGCAAAATGAAGCTGTCTCAAAGTTTTCATTTTATTATTATTATTATTATTATGTTATTTTTTTCAAGACAGAGTCTCACTATGTATGAGTTCAAGCTGGCCTTGAACTCACAAAGATCCACCAGCCTCTGCCTCCTAAATGCTGAGATTAAAGGCATGCGCCACCATGTCTGACCCTGTCTTAGGGTTTTAATGTGAAGAGTGATTTGGAAAGAAATGAAGAGTGATTTGAAAATTAACTTGCCAATGAGAGCAGGGTATATGGTAAATACATAACAAAGTGTGGGGTGAATTTGAAGAGAGAGGGATCAGTCAGGGAGATAGATGATCACATAACTCTTTATGCCAAAGATGGCAGTGATTGGATTTGTGTAATCTTAAACTAAACTTCCACCGCGTCATCAATTATTAATCCACATAATCCGGTAAGACAAACATTGCTCTTTATCTTCACGGCTTGAAAATCAAGTCCTAGGCTGGCAATTGTAATTACTAAGAGGCAAAGCAGGCACGCTGATTGTGTTCTTCTGTGCGTTCACACACTCTTATTTGTGTTCATTCATACTGCCTTTTCTTAAGTCCTGCTAGACGGGTGCTTTCAAACCTTTGCATCATGGAGCTCGCATAAAAGGCTCATCTTTTCCTGCTATTTCTGGGAGTGGTGCTCCTTGGTGCAGCCAATAAAATACCACCGTCTGGGGTGAGTGTGATGCCTGAAGGGTTTTGCCAAGAATGGACACAGAGGGTACATAAAAGGATCCTTTCACATCATACTCAAATATTGTTTTTTCCCCCTTCTGGTGTTGAATTGAGGGACTTGTGCATACTATGCTGGTATTCTATTGCTGAGCTGGATCCTAGCCTCTCAAGTGAGATTTTACCTGCTGTAAACATTAAATGGTTCTGGGAACATTTTTGGGTTATGTATCATTATGAAAGCTTACAGCCATCAGCGTCCCCTGGTGTGAGCTGCCGGAGACAGAGCCTGGAACTCTTGCCGGCACCTGAGGGGTTTCTTGTTGTTTCAGGACCGCCACTCAGGAAATCAGAGAAGAATTTCAGGATGAGTCAATACGATGCCAAATTTAGTTTATTATTTACAAAATATTTGTTTTATTTTAATTTGTGCATGTCTGTTTACGTGAATGTGTATGTGGATGCTCCTAGAGACCAGAAGCTCCCTTGGAGCCGGAGTAACAGGGAACTGTGAGGTGCCTGAAGTAGGCATTGGGAGCTGAGCTCCAGGTCTCTGCGAGAGCAGCAAGTGCTCTTAACCTCGGAGCAACTTCAAAGAATTCGGCGGTAAGGATAGTTTGTGCGATGTTTCAGAGTGTACAAAGTGTTACTCAAATTGTCCTGTTTGAACCTCAGCATAGGCCTGTGGGTCGCATTACTATCCCCACTTTACAATGCAGGATACAGAGCTTCCCCAAGGACAGGAAAAGGCTTGCTTTCCTAACCGTGTCTCAATTACTGTCTGTTACTCAGTCGGTGTCTTGCTTCTTGGCCTTATTCTGAGTCCACGCTTGCATTCCTGCTCAGGCGTTCCTAATGGCTCTTCCTTTGCTTATTACCCCAGGGGTGGGTGCTTACCTTCAGCGCTTTAGTCCTTAATAAGGGCCAGGCACTAACCAGCTCCACTGAGCTCTCTGGACAGAACAGATTTTAAGGATCTTTGGCTAAGAAAACTCTCTTTCAACTTAGCGTAAAAATGGAAAACGAATCTATCTGATGCACTAAGATTTTCTTCAGGAAGACTGACAAGCATTCCTGGGATGACTAAGGACTCCTGCTGTCCAGTTCCTGGGTTCCCTGGTGTATCCTTGTAGGTGAGCCTGGCATTTTCCTTTGGTCCAATCACTCTTGTCCACTTGCCCTTAGAGAATAGTGTTTCCTGGGAGGTAGAGTAACCATTCAGAGTTCATACCCTTAACCAGAAGCAGAGGTGAATATTTGTCTTCCGAAGCCAACCAGGCAGTAAGGGAAATGTACAGAACCGGGAGGTGAATGGACTCTCATGGCAATTTTTGTTTTGGAGCAAAGAAATGGGCTTTGTTTCCTGAATTTTCAGGGCATATTTAATAATTTAGAACAATTAGGATTCCCCAGTTTTTGTCACAGATAACATAGCAACCAATCAAGGTGGCATTGATATGAATAATAAGCATAGTTAATAATAAATGTGCTTAATGGAGACATGCATGAAGTAACTTTTTTTTATTGCTTATCATGCAGTCCTTATTTCTTTAGGCTTTAGAAGCGTTTTATATGACAGAACAACCGCATAATTTTGACTCTCGTTAAAGTTTTTATTGCTGGAGAACAATCTAGAAACAGATGACAGTACTGTGGTAGTTTACAGTCACGAGAAGGCATTGATCATACAAATTCATCAGACCAGCTGGGGATCCCCCAAAATAAGGCACTGTGGTACATGTTGTCCTGTGATGTTCTTGTCAACTCTCAACTCGTCACACGCTGGAGTCAGCCTGGGAAGAGAAACGCCAACGGAGAAAATTCTACAAGGTTGGCTTTAGACAAGCCAGTTTCTTGATTACTGACCGATGTGGGAGGGCTCTGGTCCTACCCTCGTGCCGGTGGCCACGGGAAACCAAGCAGACCATGAGCATTTCTGGCTTTTGGGGTCCCTGCCGTAGACCTACTGGCCACTTAATGTTATCGTTTCTTATTCCTGGGGTATTTTAGCTTCGAGGAAACTGAGGTATCTCAATGGGACAGTCTCCTTTCTGTAGGGAAACTTGAGTGGCCGGGTAGGTTCCAGTGGATGTCAACTTTTCTGGTGTGTGTGCGTGCGTGCTGGGGATTGTATCCTGGGTTCCTCCCACAGCTCGGAGGGAAAACTGTCCTTTCTGTTAAAGTGTGAGCGGCTCCTGCACTTCTTATATTTATTTTTATTTATATGAACGTTTTGCCTGCACGTCTGTGCTGCCGACGGGAGCCAGAAGGTGGAGCCAGATCCCCAGAACCGGAGTTGGAGTTCTGGGGTGGCCACTGAGACTCCCGGGAACAAGCGCTCCTTACCTGCTGGGGCGCTTGCATTTCAAATTTACCTTCCTATTGAAGAACTGTGCTTGGTAGAGACCCAGCTCACAGCTTTTGAAGAAGCTAACACTTGAAAAGCTGAGACTAAAACGACCCCAATAGTGATCTCATGATGGAGAACACATAGCATCCTAGTCAACTATAAGTGACACTCTACTTTTTGAACAGTGTTGTTAGCCTCGCCAGAGCAAGGCCTCAAAAAATTTGGTTTAAGACTCAGAATTGTTCCTCTCCACGGAAATCTTTAGTAAAAGGCGAAAGATTTATACGATCTGAAGAGAAACCAGAGTATGTCTGGGTGTGCCAGGTGTTCAGTGTTCGGCTGACTGTCCCTCCTAGTTCACAAATGGTAACTACTCTCCCTTAAAGACGGCGCCGGCTTCATTCGTCTAAAATAAATTCTTGAAATTTCTATCAATTAAGAAACTAGAATGAATAAAAAAAAATGAAAAAAAGCAATTGCTCTTTTAAATGATGTAACCTACTTGTGTGCAGTGCATTGTGGGTATGCAAATGTCCCCGTGTGGCCGCGTGGCGGCCCTCGGTTTCCGGACGTGCCTTGAATTTGTCCCCGTTGCCGCTAGGTCCTGGGCCACCACCAGGGGTCAGAGCGAAAGCCAGATTTACAAGCGTCCAGACTGGTCCAGTTTCAAACTGGGACTTTGGCTTCGTGTGTGCGCTTTTAATTCCAGCCCTGGTCGGGAGAGGCAGAGGCAGGGGGAATCATTGCATTTGAGGCCTATCTGGTCTGCATAGCGAGTGCCAGGCTTACACAGGGAAAAAATAAAATAAAATAAAATCGAAGTGTGACGTTTATGGGCAGAGCCCACAGTAGAGGGAATGGGTTCCGTTCTCAGCTCCATCACATAAATACAAAACAAAAAGGTTGAACACAGCACCTTGTCTTTAAAGCCTGGGGACACAGCTCAGTGGCAGAGGCCGGCCTGCCTGCCTGGCATGCAGCAAGGAGGGGGGTTTAAAAAAAAAACGCCCAGTGAAAATATGAGCCTGGCATGAGCAGCACATGACCGAACTCTGAGCATTGGGATGGCTTGAGACAGAAGGACTGTGAGTTTTAGTGGGGTAAGACTTATCTAAAATAAAACCAAGTATTGTTTTTAAGGGTTATTTAATAACACGGAAAAGTGTCCCACAGTTTTGTGAAGGTAAATAGGCAAACCAGGAACTCCGAGCTTATTTATTTCCAGTGCTCAGGGTTGAACGTTAGGCATGACACCCCATCACCAAGTGACTCCTCACCTTTCCTTGTTATGATCGGGAAATAGTAGGAGGTTGTTTGTTTATGAGACTAATCCGGAAATCACTAAGTCCAAGAGGGTATGGAACTCAGGGTGACCCTTCTGCCTTGGCCTCTTTTCAGTGCTGGGATTACAGGTGTGAGCCACTATTCTAGCTTTTTAGTCTTGTGACTGAGGATGACCTTGAACTCCTGATAGTTTGCCTTCTCTTCTTCAGTGCGGGTCATAGAGTCATGTGCCGCTGTGCTCAGCATCACTGATTCTTAAAAACAAACAAACAAACAAACAAACAAACAAACTTTTTCTGCAGTAAATATTCAGGGAAGAAGAGGAAATAAACACCAAGAGATTTTTTTACATAATACAAATTAATATGCACATGTAAATGTGGTATCAATTACTGAATTGATCCTAGATAAGAATGCATTTATACTAACAATAATGGCATATACCTGTAATTGCAGCACTCTGGGATGCTGGGGCAGAAGGATTTCTGTGAGTTCACTGTTATTCTGAGTTACACAGTAAGGTTGAGGGCAGACTGAGTTAGATAGTGAAACCCTGTCTCAAAAAACAAAAACAGAGCTGGAGAGGTGGTTTCAGCAGCTAAGGGCACAGACTGCCCCTGCAGAGGACCACAGTTAGGTTCTCAGCACTGACATCAGGTAGCTCACAGCTGCCTGGAACTCCTTTACCTGGGTTCACTGTTGTTGATTTTTTGCCGTATGTGTTTTAACCCCTTCTCCATTCACGGACATGCACACTTTTAAAAATCACTTGAAGGGAAGTTAATCATGGCCCTTTCACCTTAAATAACTATGTGTCTTCTAATAATAGGACCATTCACACATACTACTGTAGAACAGCTTTGCATCATAAACTTTAACGTAAATGGTACTTTCCTAGGGTGTCTCACCAGCCTGGGGATCATGCAGGGTTGGCACTGATTGACATCCCTCTGGCTTTCATCCTCTCCCATTGTAAGGAGACTTCTGGTCCCCTTTGAAGTCCACGATCCCCAAGGGATACCTAGTGTTGCTAACAAACAGGGACTCTCGGTTCTTCTCATGTGCCATCTGGGATGATTAATCTTTATTGCCAGCTTGAGAGGATTTAAAGTCATCCAGGAGACACTGTTATCACTTGCCTCACAACATACATTTCAGCCACAGTGAATGACTGGCCCGCATTTCTCAGCGGTCTGGGTTATGCTCTTAGAATCTTTATGTCATCTTGGGTGTTTTCTTCCTTTTCTGGAGTGTTCTATCGCATTTTCTCCCTGACTCGTAGGCAGTTACTTATTGGCCAATCAGTGTCCACTTCGTCCAGCAGGTTGCCAGCCTCTGTACCTATGGTGGGCCTGTCCCCACGCATCCTCAGCTGGTTTCCTTTCTAGAATGTGGTCTAGAATGTGTCACACACACTGTCTCTGTATGCCCAGGGTCTAGGTAGTTCATAGAGTAAGGATTTAAAGTTAGTTGACTTGTGGGATCAGACAGTCCTTCTTATAGTTGTTGACTTTTTTTTTTTTTTTCAGTCAAGGTCTCACTCTGTAGTCCAAGCCGACCTTGGACTCAGCCATCCTCCTGCCTCAGCAAGTGCAGTGGTTACAGGCACGAGCCACCACATCCTGCTTTGTTCAGTTTCTCCGTATCTCAGACGAGCCTCCCATCTGCACCTCAGGTTGATGGAAAGGAGGGGTTCAAGCCAAGTAGCAGGACAGCCAGCCACCTCTTCAGCCCTAGGGTTAACTTCTTTTGTCCAGAGCATCCATTTTTCCCCCTATCCAAATGTATACTTGTGAACAATATTGTGTTATCTGAGTATAATCTGTCTGGATTTTTATGGTGGGCTTCAAAGGAGCTACCTTTCTCTCTTTCTTTTTTTTTCCCCTTTTATTTTATTTTACAATACCATTCAGTTCTACATATCAGCCACAGGTTCCCCTGTTCTTCCCCCTCCCACCCCCTCCCCTTACCCCAAGCCTACCCCCCATTCCCACCTCCTCCAGGGCAAAGCCTCCCCCGAGGACTGCGATCAACCTGGTAGACTCAGTCCAGGCAGGTCCAGTCCCTTCCTCCCAGACTGAGCCAAGCGTCCCTGCATAAGCTCCAGGTTTCAAACAGCCAACTCATGCAATGAGCACAGGACTCGGTCCCACTGCCTAGTTGCCTCCCAAACAGATCAAGCCAATCAACTGTCTCACCTATTCAGAGGGCCTGATCCAGCTGGGGGCCCCTCAGCCTTTGGTTCATAGTTCATGTGTTTCCATTCGTTTGGCTATTTTTTTTCAATAATTGAGTAAAACTGAAATTTATTATAAGCCACAGTCGTCCTAGGGACCTCCATGCTATATATATAGCCTCCATGGTTCTATGGGTTGTGGTCTGTTCTATGGATTGTTCTTTATTTTATATCTAGAATCCACTTATGAGTGAGTACATACCATGACTGTCTTTCTGGGTTTGGGTTACCTCACTCAGGAAGATTTTTTCTAGTTCCATCCATTTGCCTGCAAATTTCATGCTTTCATTGTTTTTCTCTGCTGAGTAGTACTCCATTGTGTATATGTACCACATTTTTTTCATCCATTCTTCCGTTGACGGGCATCTAGGTTGTTTCCAGATTCTGGCTATTACAAATAGTGCTGCTATAAACATAGCTGAGCATGTATCTTTATGGTATGAATCAGCATTCCTTGGGTATATGCCCAAGAGTGGGATGGCTGGGTCTTGAGGTAGTTCGATTTCTAATTTTCTGAGAAACCACCATACTGATTTCCACAGTGGTTGTACAAGTTTACATTCCCACCAACAGTGGAGGAGTGTTCCCTTTGCTCCACATCCTCTCCAACATTGACTGTCATTGGTGGTTTTGATCGTAGCCATTCTGACAGGTGTAAGGTGGTATCTCAGAGTCGTTTTGATTTGCATTTCTCTGATGATTAAGGATGTTGAGCACTTCTTTAAATGTCTTTCAGCCATTTGTGATTCTTGTTTTGTGAATTCTCTGTTTAGCTCTTTAGCCCATTTTTTAATTGGACTGTTCAGTATTTTGATGTCTAGTTTCTTGAGTATTTTATATACTGTGGAGATCAATCCTCTGTTCTCTCTTTCTTTTTTAAAAAATTTATTTATTATTTTATGTGCATTGATGGTTTGCCTGCATGTATGTCTGTGTGAGGATGTCAGGTCTCCTGGAACTGGAGTTACAGACAGTTGTGAGCCGCCATGTGAGTGCTGGGACTTGAACCCAGGTTCGCTGGAAGAACAGTCAGTACTCCTAACTTGTGGGAGCCCACAATTGACTCAGTTTTCCAGTTTGAATCTAAAGTCTATTCTGAGTCTATAGAGTTCAGGCTTGCTTGCTTCAAGGCCGTGAGAAAGTCTTGATTAGCCCGCAGAGCCTCCTTGAAGGGCTGTGAGAAAGTCCTGATTAGCCCATGGGAAGGAACACACTATCTAGCTAGATGCAGTCTGCTGATGCCAGCCAGAGGTACATTGAGATAGAAAATGAAACTGCCTGCTCCTTGACGCAAGGCAGGATAGATAGTGGTTGAATGTCTGTGCTGTGCATTGTTCTACCTCTGTCCTTCAAAACTGTATATAAGCTGGCTGTGAAATAAACTTGGGGCTGTTCGGCATTGACCGGCAGACCTCTCGACTCTTTTCTGTCTTCTTCATTGTCTCTTCAATCCACACGCCTCTACCCAGCTACCCAGCTGACTGTCAGCAGGCTCCGACACTAACTGCTGAGCCATCTCTCCAATCCCCAGGTGCCTTTCTCTCTTAGCAGCTTTGTTTACGTTATAAATTTGGGAAATGAGTCATTGTGGACTATTCTGGAAGATTTTTGTGTTTATTTCCATCATCTCCATGTTCCTGTTGTTTCTGTCTTTTAATTACTCCTTATGTCACTGGAACAATATGAGGGAGAAGATCTTTTGGTACCACCAACAGGTGGCCTGGGACAAGCTACAGACTATGTGCATTGTGTATAAGATGAGGGCAATAGGTACCCTG